AGTCCACGGATCTCTGTGTGAGTCTATGGGCCTTTGTATGAGTCTATATGTCTCTGTGTGAGTCTATCGGCCTCTGTATGAGTATATGGGTCTCTGTGTGAGTCTATGGGCCGCTGTATGAGTCTATGGGCCTCTGTGTAAGTCTATGGGTCTATGTGTAAGTCTATGAGTTTCTGTGTGAGTCTATGGGTCTTTGTGTGAGTCTATGGGTCTTTGTATGAGCCGATGGGTCTCTATGCGAGTCTATGGGTCTCTGTGAGTCTATGGGTCTTTGTGTGAGTCCAGGGGCCTCTGTTTAAGTCTATGGCTCTCGGTGTGAGTTTATAGGTCTCTGTGTAAGCCGATGTGTCTTTGTAAGCCTATGGGTTTCTGTGTGAGTCTATGGGTCTCTGTGTGATTCTATGGGTCTCTGTGTGAGCCGATGGGTCTTTGTGTGATCATTTGGTGTATGCGTGAGTTTATGGGTCTCTGTGTGAGTCTATGGGTCTCTGAGAGTCTATGGGTCTCTGTGCAACTCTATGGGTCTCTGTGAGTCTATGGGTCTTTGTGTGAGTCCAGGGATCTCTGTGTGAGTCTATGGGTCTCTGTTTGAGTCTATGGGCCTCTGTTTGAGTATATTGGTCTCTGAGTCGATGAGACCCTGTGTGAGTATATGGGTCGCTGTGTGAGTCTATGGGTCTCTGAGTCGATGGGTCTCTGTGTAAGTCGATGGGTATCTGTGTGAGTCTATGGGTCTCTGTGTGAGCCGTTGGATCTTTGTGTGAGCATATGGGTTTATGTGTGAGTTTATGGGTCTTTATGTGAGTCTTTGGGTCTCTGTGTGAGTCTATTGGTCTCTGTGTGAGTCTATGGGTCTCTGTGTGAGTCTAGGGGTCTTTGTGTGAGTCTATGGGCCTCTGTGTGAGTCTATGGGTCTCTGAGTCGTCGGATCTCTGTGTGAGTCTATGGGTCTCTGAGGCGATGGGTATCTGTGTGAGTCTATTGGTCTGTGTGTGAGTCTATGGGTCTCTCTGATAGCTGATGGGTCTTTTGTGAGTCTATGGGCCTCTGTGTGAGTCTGTGGGTCTCTGTGTAAGTCTATTGGTCTCTGTGTGAGTCTGTGGGTCTCTGTGTGAGTCTGTGGGTCTCTGTGTGAGTCTGTGGGTCTCTCTCTCAGTCTATGGGTCTCTGTTTGAGTCTGTTGTTCTCTGTGTGAGTCTATGGGTCTTTGTGTGAGTCTAGGGGTCTTTGTGTGAGTCTATGGGCCTCTGTTTGAGTCTATGGGTCTCTGTGTTAGTCTATTGGGCTCTGTGTGAGACCCATAGTCTCACACAGAGGCCCATACTTTATCATCCTTCCCCTACACCTCCGATGAGCACGGTCGGTTATTTACAGTGCAAAAGAACTTCACTTGTACAACAATGGCCGCTACTGGGAGACTAATGCAGATAGACTTCTGCCACTCGCTAACAGCACTTGCCCCAACCATCTGTGAAGGCTATATGGGGTTATTTGTCTTTCATGGTGGCAGCCCCGTGTTATCACTCCAGGCTCCCCCAACCCCTCCCAACTCCCCCCTCACACCCACTTCCACCCCCTTCATGCTGTCCTCTGAAGCCCCAAGCGATGGTTCAACACTGCCTTGGCATGCAATGGGGCCGTCCATAAATAACGTCACGCGGTTTTGGACGCTTTTTGACCCCCCAGCCTCGTCACAAAAAAGTCAGACCCCCCCTCATATATGTTGTCTATATTTATTTAAAGTTGCGCATTTTGATGTGACGTCACATTTCTCAAACCCCCCCTCCCTCTCGTTACACATCGTCATTCATGGACGGCCCCAATGAGGTCGTGGTTTCTGCATGAGCCTCCTTCGCGTTTTCCAATTGCCTCCCTAAATTAAAAGACGAAGATCCCCCCCTTCCCCCGTGTATCCTTAACAAGCTGTTGGGGCAAGAGCTACCACGCCCTATGAAGTCTGAAATGATAGGCACGAGGGTGGGTGGTGAGCACTTGAGTCACGTGGTCCTCCATTTCCAACTTAGTCCAGACCTCCCACGTATGACGTCACAGTCAACACGCGCGCGCACAAACAAGAAAGACAAAGATCCCCCGTGTAGCCTGTAACAGACTGCCGGGGTCAAGTGGCTGTTAGAACGATAAGTAGCAGCGCCTTTGAAGGGCGGCACTGTGGCACACGAGGGGGTGGGTGGCCAGCACAACCGCGCCCACCCGCCATCATCTCCCCAGCGGCGATGGTTTTACGTCCCGCACCAGGTACTCACTTGAGACTGAGTAGACCTCGCGGAGGCTCTGGGCCAGTTTAGATACTCGAAATCACCGATGTTGGCCGTGATTCGAACTTGGGTCGTCGGGTTCGCAGCATGGCGTAGCGCTAACCGCCACACTACCGCTCCCCCACACACTCACGTTGACAGACGCACACAGAGAACACGCGAATTAGTTGGTGTGATCCTGTCCGTTTATTGCATTTCTTGATTTGTAATCAAAACACGCACACGCGCGTGTGTATGATATCTCACCCACGCCGCTACTGCTATCATCATCACCATCAGCCAGGGACTATCCACAGCTGGATGAAGGCCTCTGTAATCAGCCGCCGCCACCTCTTTCCATGCTGTGACACGTGTGAATGCACGTTGAACTTCTTTCGCACCATGCGGAGTCAACCGTGCTAATCGATGGTGCGTGGGAAGGAAACTTTCACAGACACACACACACGTGTGCTTGTGCGCGCACAACAACAACCGCCATTCGCCACTAAGTAGCGGTGACGTCACCACGACGCTTGCGCCAGGCCATGTGCACGTTGAGGCCACGTGAAGTTTCGAACGAAAACTGGCAGGAGGTTATGGGGCAGACCCAGCAGGTGCCATGGGTCCACTGAGTGAGATGACTTGCCGATGCACCGCCTGTGCCCTCGTCTGTGCGAACTTCTTGCGTTTTAGCCACCCGGCGCTCCGCGTGTTTTGTACGAGTCGCTACACCGCCCTTCGTTGTTGCTGGAGAGAGACTGCTGGTACAGCCATCAACAAGTCCACTCAGCTCCGCATCCTCTTGGACAACATCACTCCATCTCTTCTCTACCCGTGCCGCGCACGTTTAGCTCCCTCTATCCGGCCGAACAAAAGCTGTTTAGGCATTCGGTGGCTGGGCATGCGGGCTACATGACCCAGCCATCGCAGCCTTGCATGCCAGAAGAGCTCACTGATGAGTTTTTGCAGCTCCTCACACAATCCAGCCTGGTTAAACCCAGGATGGATCATAGGCAGGCCTGCCTAAATGTTTCTCACCGGGGAAGATGTTCCATTAGGGGGGTCCACGTTTTCCAGCGAAAAGAAGGGAGGGCATGACTGTGGCCGAGACGTCCCGAAGCTTTGTGTGGAGCAACAGACCAGGTATCTTCCAACAAGCATTACGTAACCGACGAAATGATAATGCCGCTGGACCTGAAGCTTCGTGTGGGCAGCAGACCAGGTAGCTTCCACGCAACATTGCACAGACGATGAAAAGATAATGCTGCTCGACTGATTCAGAGTGAGACATCTGTTGTCATTCCGAAGCTGTTCATGTGCACACTGCCGAGGTATGGGAAACTCTCCACTCTCTCCACAACCGCCCCATCACCAATTGCGAGTTGTGGGGATGGATTGTCCAATGGCACAAAATACCCCAGCAGGTGCCTAGTTTTGGTGGGGCCGACAGTAAGGCCCTACCTCTTCGTGGCATGCTCCAGGTTCAGCAGCAGCGCCTCCAACTCCTCCTCTGAGTGAGCAGAAATCAGCAGATCATTGGCAAACTTAACATGGTTGACCAATAGGCAGCCATCCCTTGACCTCACCTGGGCATCGATCAGCCTCCCATTGTATCTGTACCAGATAGAAATTATTCCGGTATGGTCATCATTGGCATCACGAACTACGTGGTATAAATAGATGTTAAATAATGTGGGAGCCAGAGAACATCCCTGTCGTACCCCAAGGTGAACAGCGAAAAGCTCCTACTCCTGGCCACGTAGTTTTACCAGGACCTGCCCACAATCATGAAGGCCCTTAATAATTGTGAGCAGAGAGTCACGTACTCCAAAAGCATGAAAAACAACCCAGAGTCCAGGCCTACTGATGGTATCATAGGCCTTGACCAGGTTAATTAAGGAGAGATGTAAATCTTGTTGTAATTCGCTACACCTCTGTTGTAAAAAAACGGACAAAATATGGCATTTTTGCAGGACCGCTTTTTCCTGAAACAACATTGGGGCTACACAAGCCTCACCTCAGCATGCCCGGCTATGTGATTGTGATTAATCCTTGCCAGGAACTTTCCCGCAACACGGAGGAGAGAGATGCCCCTGTAGGGCATCCTTCCAATCCTACAGAACCGGTATGGTGGTCCAGACCGTTATTATGATGTCATGTAGGTCAGTTTGCGCACACACGCCACCCTCCCTCAGCATTTCGCTTGGGAGATCATCTGTTTGGTGCTTTTCCTGTTCTCAGATTTTGGATCACCTTCTGTACTTCCTCAACAGATAACACCTAAGCCGGCCACTCACAGGGCATGACCTCTTATTCCAATATACAGTATGAGGCACGACAGCCTAAGCAGGGTCATCCATATTTTTCCCCATGATGTTTTAAACGCTAAGGGATTTCCCCTCTCATAAGACCTCACAGAAATGCTCAGTAAATCTACAAACCTGTTCCTGGGGGTCGTAGATCATATCACCTTTTTTCCCTGTTGTATATATTGTGATAAAAAAAATTCTCAACAAAAACATAGGTAAATAATAAAATAAAAATGTTATATTGGTTCTCTTGTTGTGATAATATCAATGATTCTCGCTTCAACATGTACACTTCTCGCTTTAACGTTAATGGTTCTCGCTTTAACAATTACCTGTGCAATTGTGTCAGGTCTCGGGATTCAGATCTCACCGCAGGATACAGTTCGTTATTACGACAATGATGCACGAGTTTAGGAAAGAAGCACACAGAAACCTGTTTTTGATCTAAGCAACTTTAATGTCAACTTCCCCTAACATCCAAAAAGAATTATCATCAAAACACCAACAACATTGTCCATGCAAATGTAGTGTAGCAGAGCCAACTGGCGACCAGGAGTAGCAATTTCGGGAGTAGCCACCCAAGGGTCAAGAGTCAAGGAAGGGATAAGAACTGGGCCAAAGGTCATGGAAGGAATCCATCTTTGAGCTCCCAGAACCAGCTAAAAGGTTCGAGAAGGGGGGCGTGGCCAGGGCGGGGCCAGATCCCGCTGGAAGAATAAAAGGGGGCGAGAGAGGGAGTTCGGGGCTGTCCGTGGGAATCAGGGTCGTCTCGCCGTGAAAGTCGTCCTCGTCGTCGCCATCGCTGCAGTCGTCTTTGTCATCGCCTGACGCCGCCACTGCTGGATAGTCAGCCAGCTATGGAGTCAGTTAGCGTCGTCGAGCTCGGCGGTCACCATTACGTGATGTGCTCAGTGAGTCGTGTAGTGTGAGTACGAGAAATATAAATTAAGAAGGTGCCTCTACAGTTAGTGTCTCCAGAGTCCTGCATTACACGAGTATACATACTCATCAATCCATACTAGGTGATCATAAAAGCATCAATGGCCACATCTCACGATCACTTTGTTAAGAAAGAACAATAATCTAGTGTCTAATGGCAACGTGACAATACAAGATTCGTTTGTTGTGGTGTTTGAGGCATGCAACTGAGATTCTTCTAAGCACCCAACCTGTACAAGGTACCGTTATCAATAGTGAGTGAGAGTAAGGTTAATATTCCTCCTTCTGCTTCTTTCTTCTTTGTTCGTTCTGAAGTTATAGTTCAAATCGGAGCAATCTTATTCTCGGCACTGAACAAGATCCGTTTAGGCAAGACTCTCAAGAAATCACTCTTAACATTGACGGAAAAAATATCTACATCTGATGGGGTACATGTTGATAACATGACAGCCTCTTAAGCCGCCTCAATGTATCAACAAAGATTCGTTTATGAAGCCATCCACTATACCGACACAGACACAGCTTCAATCGTGAAGATGGGTGTAAACTGAGCAATCGTTGGAAGGACATTATCAACCAGTTTAAGTAATAACTGGCTGTGATGTCCCCATTCTACCACCTTCCAATGTTAGTTGTTATTTTCGGCTCTCTGATTTTACATTAACAGGTTAAATTTCCCACACTAACACAGCCACCTCGCACGCCGAGCTCGTTGTTGCTGCTCTGCGATAATCCATTAACATTCTAATATCTCACATGAACAAAGCCACCTCCGCTGCCCTCATCGTGGAGGCCACTGTCCGATCACATTAACATAACTAGTCCTGCCCACTTCGTTTATGACCCTGGGGCTGCACCAATTCTAAACCGTTAAAACAGTCGGCCTCAGCAGTTTTCACCATCTTTTTTCCTCCTGATGACGAATGCTTGTGTTGTGATGGAAACGTTGTAGTTTTTTCTTTGAACCTATCTACGTGACTTTAACGAAAGACCCAAAGAATATGAATTCCTGCAGTTACGAAAACTTTAAGTCAATCTCAAACAAAAGTTTCGTCCCATCTGTCCAACAGATAGAGAGCAATTAATCCGGTACACACCTTCTGTTGATAACTTCGACAGCTCCTCTTTAGTACAAGAATCTAGTTTTTGTATGTTTCACCATCGTGATCATCATCAGCGCATGTGAGCTCATTGTGAGTGAGTGAGCAAGTGGAGTGGAGTTTTATTTATTCTCCCCCTTGTTCTGTGCCGGGATTTCCTCGGACTCTCCGGTCTTATTTTTTCTCCTCCTGTAGCTAAAACGAAACAGGCAAAGTGTGAATCTGGAATTGACCAACAACATCTCAGTTTAACATGCAGTAAGCTTTGGTGACCAATATTATCCATGATATAGTTTTTTTGGATTAGATCGCCTAAATATGAACCGCTGAATACCACCCGATTCAGACAATTACTAAGCTTTGTCACGTAAACAAAAGATGCGAAATCGTTACTCGTGCAGAACAGCGGTGTGTTGTAGAGCAAACCCACTACATGCGTCAGGGTTGGTGCGAACAGTCCTCGCGGTGGTCTCCATCTGTTTAAGTCATCGCGGTGTTCCGTCATTGTCAACACGCGGGGTCGCTGTGTTAAGTCGGTGAACTGCAGGGTTCTGTAGACGCGTGCTATTACTGTCGCTGAGAGTTTGAAGAGTTGGTTGTACTTGGTTGTCAAGAAATAATTATCCACCACAGTTGGTTCACGTCCTTGTGCATAACGAACCAAGGCATAGTCACTACATTTCAAATCTTGTTAAAATTCTCAGTATTCCAGATTGAGTTATTGTCCTTTCTGTTGCCGTCAAAGCGCGTTTAAAAATCTGTATTGGTGTCCGATAAAAAAATATTGAGAGAATTGCTCGCGGGAGAAAATGGATCCGAACTCCTCTCTCTCCCATGTTCGAAATGAGCAACCCTCACAGCTATCAGCTGGAATTGAAATATTTCCTCCTTCTCTGCCGATGCCGGATGGGAAAATTGTTGAGGTTTCAGGACTTTTTCAGTTGGAGCAAGCTGCTATGTCTCTCTGCGTTGTCTAACCGATTCATATTCGCCCAGACACCCTGGCTGACATGGAGAGAGGTGGTTGAGAAAAAGTGCCGATGCTATTTTTCCTCTGGTGAGAAAATCTCATATCCGAAAATTAGCAGTCATTACCACAGCTTTGGGCAAGCCGAGCATATTTGCAGATTTTTGCTGAGCATTTTTCTAAGATGTTGCCCAAAAGCTTTGTTTATCACGGGGGGGGGGGGGGTGCATGCGCATGCGTGTTAATGTGTTCCCAATCTGTTTTCCCAGACACGCCGATGGAAATTTTTTTTTGATTCACTCGGAGTACAGCAAATAGCCGCTGAACACCGCGTCTCTGTGCAGGTTGATGAAAAAACTAATGTGTGGAGCCTCCAACTCCAGCCACACCTCATCCCCGGCTTTGAGACTCAGCACGACGCTGCCACTTATTGTGTCGTAGTTTATACCGCACATCTTAGAGATGACCACGCCGTTTTTCATGATCATAACCACGAGGTGCTTTTCACCGGGGTGCACGTACAGTGCGAAATAGTAGACGCCTGGGTGGGTGCAGGTGAATTTCCCCGTGCCGGGGTTGTAGTGGCCCTGCGGGTTGGTGATGATGACGTTGAACGTCACGGGGGAGCCGGCCGCTGGCGTGTAAGCGCCCACCTTCGCGGAGAAGGCCGACCTGGGCCCCACGCTGCTCTTCACCTGCTCGGCTTTCTCGCCTCTTCCGCCAGGTAGACCTAGGCGGACAACACGGTGCAAACGCATGGTGTGTGCGTGTGTGTGTCACCCGGTGTTGCTCGGGTCTTAAGAATATTTCAAAACTACTCTTAAAAATGCAACAGCAGTGCGTACTGACTGTGGTGGTACCTGCTATGATGACAGCAGTGCATACCGTGGTGGTACCTGCTATGATTACAGCAGTGCATATTGTGGTGGTACCTGCTATGATTACAGCATTGCATACTGACTGTGGTGGTATCTGCCATGATTACAGAAGTGGATACCGACTGTGGTGGTACCTGCTATCACTACAGTAGTACATGCTGACTCTATATCAGTATTTATAAACTCACCTGACAGAGTGGCGTGGTGAGGCCTAGTCTCGTGCAGAGCCTCCAGGCTCGCCTAGATTGTCCAGCCAGCCGAGGTGGCACCTTGGCAGTCTGGGGCTGGGCTGGTACCCCTGACCCCCCCCCCCGCCCCCCAGGCACGATGTCCCTGGACGCTCTGCAGTAATATCTACGGCCTATAGCGGTAGCATCTACCGACTGTATAGTAGTAATAACTGCACGCATCGTGGTGGGGGGGGGGGACATGAGAGAGTGGGGAATTTACCTGAGCGTTTAATGTATTTTTTAATAGGATTTTTAACGCGACCCTCACTCCCACTGGAGGCATGTGATTTGGCATGGGCGGCCCTTGCACACCAAAGACACGTGAGTTGCTTTGGTCATGTACGTGTCATAAATAAATGAATAAAAGCGAAGCGCATTAAAATCGCAGTAAATCGCTAATTAAACTCATTGACGGCGCTTGCTGACCGCGGGGCTTACGGCGTGGTACCTGGCTATTTTTTTCTTTTACGTAAATCCCACCGTTGGAGAGCCAAGCACGCGACCACACACAAACCCACACACAATGACTTATATATATAGAAGATAGATATATAGATAGATTTGGCTGAATAAATGTCCACGTGATGATAAGCCCACTTCATCGAGCTATCACTGCGTGTGGCCAGGTCGCTTCTGCACAAGATTCACATAGCTCAGTGAGCCCTACTTGGTTACAAAATAAATATATAGAATCAGCTGCTAGGTGCACACGAGTCAGTGTAACAGTCCCACCTGGGTCCCCAGCCAAGCCTCGAGCCCCGACGTCTCCCTTGGCTCCGGGTGGTCCGGTAGCGCCTGTGAGAAGAACAAAGCATGGCTCGTCCACTCCTCAAGCCACTCTCAATTCACACCACTCGCCTCCACGCACTCTCCTGTCTCTCCCCTCTCATCTCACTCTACTCCACATGAGACACTCTTCTACGAGAATGAGCGAGTGAACGATGGAGGGCATGACATAGCGAGTGAACGTTTGAGTGAGTGAACGACTGAGTGAATGAGTCAGTGAGTGAACGATTGAGTGAGTGAATGAGTGAGTGAGTGAACGAGTGAGCGAGCGAGTGATCGTGTCGCACCACGAGCGCACCATGGGGGGTCTCTGGGACCCGACCCCTCACCGTCTCTGCCGTCCCTCCCAGGGGCCCCAGGGGTCCCGTGCTCCCCCGGGGCTCCGGGCTGCCCGGGGATCCCGTTGATGCCCGCGCAGATTGTCCTCTCCTGCTGGGCTCCCACCACCACCACCAGCAGCAGTAGCAACAGCGGCAGGGCCGAGATGGACATCTGGGGACAGCAGTGGCGAGATGTTAACTAGCTCGCCTGGTATACCGGATGGATTTAAACTACGAACTATCATTTTATTTTGCCAGGTAATTTACGAATGAGCTGCGACATAGTAGCTTTTTTTCACAAGCGCCATGCCCATCACAAATGGTAGTTCAATGATGTAGGCTTATCATCATGTGGAATAATAGGGGTTTTCCCCTTTTTTCTGGCAACAAAACTGAAACCTTTTTTAAGAGGAATCACGTGTGCATTAACCACGATACTTGTGGTCAAAATCCGAACAAAACACACACTCTGATAACATATGCATTGTCCTTGAAACTGATTGGTCCACACCAGAGACGGAGGTCTAATGATAATCATGTGGAAATTTTTAGCATAACTCTAACAACGTGGTGATGTTGATTCTATTTGTGAATGAGGAAAAACAGAGGACCCGAAGAAAAATCCACGCGACCACAGAAAAACACGAAATATACAGCAGACATCAGGGTCGGGCTCGAACCGGCGACTTCTTTTAAATAATGGCAGCAAGTTAACATCTTCACGGGGAGAGAGAGAAATACAAATTCCAAATATATAGCAACAGGCATTGTCAGGGTATGGATCGAACCCACGACTTCCTGTATACCAGGCGAGGTAATTAACATCTCCACGGGGAGAGACGGAGAGAGATTGACGCAAACTCCAAATAAGGAGCAGCAGGCATCGTCAGGGATCCGGGGATCGAACCTGAGGAGGAAGAATCAGAGACAAGCGGGGAGACAGCAGCCAGAATCAGAATGTTGTATTGCCGCTGCAGGAGGAATCTGATGAGCTATGAAGCTCTTTGCTCGTCACAGATGCTCCGGTAAGGAGGCCACGAGGTCAGAACGTTTCAACAACAAACCACACGATGCACACAGGATAGGAGGGCAAAGTATAGGAAAGGTAAACAAATAACGTAAAACAATATAAACAAAAACATCTAAACTAGTTGTTATCTTTCCAGGTAAAACCCCAACTCAGCTATTAGAAGAGACCTCTCCATCACAAATAATGGCAGTTCGACAAAGTGGCCTATCATCGTCGTCGTGAACAGCACGTGAACATTTATAGCAGCAGCCAAACATAGCGACACATGGAGATGGAGAGAGAAGCTTGGAGACTCATGTGTTTTTGCGTGTGTTAATGAGTCTGCGTGAGTCTATGGGTTTCTGTGGGATCTATGGGTCTCTGTGTGAGTCTATGGATCTCTGTACGTCTGTGGGTCTCTGTGTGAGTCTACAGGTCTCTGTGTGAATCTACGCGACTCCGTGTGAGTCTATGGATTTATTTTTGTGTCTATGGGTCTCTCTGTGATGAGTATATGGGTCGATGTCTGTTGAGTCTATAGGTTTGTGTGCGAGTCTATGGGTCGCCGTGTGATTAGTCCATGGGTCTCTGTCTGATGAGTCTATAGGTTTCTGTGTGAGTCTATGGGTCTCTGTCGGAGCCTATGGATATCTGTGTAAGTCTACTCGTCTATGTGTGAGTCTGTGGATCTACGTGTGATTCTACAAGTTTCTGTGTGTATGTTTACGGTTCTCTGTGTGAGTCTATGGGTCTCTGTGTGAGGAGTTTATGGGCTGAGTGAGTGTATGGGTCTCTGTCTGAGTCTATGGATCTATGTTTGAGTCAATGGGTCTATGTTAAGTCTACAGGTCTCTGTGTGAGTCTGTGAGTCTAAATGTGAGGGCTTTATGGCATTTGAGTGAGTCTGCGGGTATATGCCTGAGTCTATTCATCTTTATATGAGCCTACGGGTCTCTGTGTGAGGCTTTGAATCTTTGTGTGAGTCAATGGGTCTGTGTGAGTCTACGGGTCCCTGTGTGAGTCTATGGATCTCTGTGTGAGTCTTTGTACGTACGGTATGTTGAATTTTCTTTCACACCAGCGTACGTAGCAGCTGAGCGTTCTGCTAATCGGAGGTTGTGAGACAGTTGTGCGTCGTTGCTCTGCGTTGGTCACCAAGTCACTGTAATCCTCTCCCCCATCTCCTCTTTTAAACATTACTCTGGTCACGTGGTCCTCCATTTCTCACTTGGTCCAGACCTCCCACGTATGACGTCACAGTCAACACGCGCGCGCACAAACAAGAAAGACAAAGATCCCCCGTGTAGCCTGTAACAGACTGCCGCGGTCAAGTGGCTGTTAGAGCGATAAGTAGCAGCGCCTTTGAAGGGCGGCACTGTGGCACACGAGGGGGTGGGTGGCCAGCACTACCACGTCCACCCGCCTTCATCTCCCCAGCGGCGATTATTTTATGTCCCTCTCCAGGTACTCAATTTGAGACTGAGTCGATCTAACCGAGGCTGAGGGCCAATTTACACAATCGATATCACCGGTGTTGGCCGTGAGTGGGATTCGAACTCGGGTCGCCGGGTTTGCAGCGCAGCTTAGCGCTAACCGCTACACTACCGCTCCCCCACACACTCACGTTGACAGACACACACAGACACACGAGAGAAGGAGTTGGTGTGACCCTTTCCGCGTATTGCGTTTCTCGATTTGGAATCCAAAACACGCAAGCACGCGCGTGTGTGTGTGATTTCTCCCCCACGCGACTACTGCTATCATCATCATCATCACAATCAGCTGGGGACTATCCACTGCTGGATGAAGGCCTCTATAATCACCCGCCGCCACCTCTTTCCATGCTGTTATACGTGTGAATGCACTTTCAACTTCTTTCGCACTATGCGTAGTCAACCGTGCGAATCGGAGGTGCGTGGGAAGGACACTTTCACACACACACACACGCGTGTGCTTCGCGTGCACAACAACAACCGCCATTCGCCACGTAGTGGTGGTGACGTCACTATGGCGCTTGTGCCAGGCTAAGTGCACGTTGAGGCCACGTGAAGTTTCGAACGCCCGCTGGCAGGATGTCACGGGGCAGACCCAGCAGGTGCCATGGGTCGACTGACTGAGATGATGAATGGCCCATGCACCACCTGTGCCCTCTACTGTGCAAACGTCTTGTGTTTTATCCACCCGGCGCTCCGCGTGTTATTGTAAGAGTCGCTACTCTGCCCTCCGTTGTTGCTGGAGAGCGGCTGCCTCAAACTGCCCAATATCGTTCTTCGCAAAGCCTCTTCCATAGAAGTCCAGCCATCAGCAAGTCTGCTCAGCTCTGGATCCTCCTGTGCCACATCACTCCATCTCTTCTCTACCCGTGCAGAGCCTGTTTAGCCCCCTCTATCCAGCCGAACAAAAGCTGTTTTAGGCATGCGACTTTGTCCAGATCTTTAAAGGGTTCGTGAGCTCCTCACACAATCCAGCCTGGTTAAACCCTGGATGGATCGTAGGCAGGTCAGCCTAAATGTTTCTCAATGGGGAAGATGTTACATTAGGGAGGTCCACGTTTCGCAAGCGTAAAGAAGGGAGGGCATGACCGTGGCCGAGAAGACCTGAAGCTTCGTGTGGAGCAGCAGACCAGGTAGCTTCCACACAACATTGCACAGCCGATGAAAAAATAATGCTGCTCGACTGATTCAGAGTGAGACATCTGATTTCAAACCGAAACTGGTCATGTGCACACTGCCCAGGTATGGGATACTCTCCACTCTCTCCACAACTGCCCCATCACCAACTGAGAGTTGTGGGGGTGTAGTGCCTGAAGGCACAAAATACCCAGGCAGGTGCTTAGTTTTGGTGGGGCTGATGGAAAGGCCCCACCTCTTCCTGGCACGCTGCAGTTTCAGCAGCAGTGCTCCAACTCCTCTGAGTGAGCAGAATCACCAGCTCATCGGCATACTTAACATGGTTGACCAATAGGGAACCATCCCTTGACCGCACATGGGCATCGATCAGCCTCCCATTGTATCTGTACCAGATGGAAATTCCTCTGGTATTGGCCATCATTGGCTTCATGAACTACATGGTAGAAATATATGTTTAATAATGTGGGAGCTAGAGGACATCCATGTTGCACTCCAAGGTGAACAGAGAAAGGCTCCGATTCTTGAGGTCGTAGTTTTACCTGTGTCTGCCCACAATCATGAAGGTCCTTAATTTTTGTAAGCAGAGAGTCACAGACTCTAAACGCATGAAGAACAACCCAAAACCCAGGCCAAATAATGGAATCATAGGCCTTGACCATGTCAATTAGGTCAGTTTGCCCACAAACGCCACCCTCCCTCAGCATTTCGCTTGGGAGATCATCTCTGCCTGGTGCTTTTCCTGTTCTCAGATTTTGGATCGCCTTCTGTACTTCCTCAATAGATAGCACCTTAGCCAGCCACTAACCGGGGATGACTTCTTCTTCCAATTTATGAGGCACGACAGCCTCAGCAGGGTCATCCCTATTTCCCCCCATGATGTTTTCCACGCTGAGAGAGTTCCCCTCCCCTAAGACCTCACAGAAATGCTCAGTAAATCTACAAACCTGTTCCTGGGGGACGTAGATCATATCACCTTTTTTCCCTGTTGTAAATATTGTGATTTAAAAATTATTAAATAAAATATAGGTAAAATAATACTTATTAATTATTGGCTCTTTTGTTGTCTCGGGGTATGTATCAGCAATCGTGATAATATCAATGATTCTCGCCTTAGTAATACGTTTTACCCTTTTAACTGGCACAAAAACTGACACCTTTATTCAAGGCATCATGTTTGCAATAACCACAACACAAGCAGTCAAAATGCAAACAAAAGAGACAACTCTGATAATAATAACATGCAATGTCCTTGAATTTGATTGGTCCACACCCGAGACGGCTTTTCTTAGAGCTTAGTCTCCACTGGTGTTGGACCAGAAGACGCCAAAAGGCGTACAACTCAAAAACAGCGCACTATCAGAGTATTGAGGGCTCGGGGAAGCATTTACATTATGAGACCTCCATTACCATTACTATATATTGTGACTGGTAAAGGAGGTATCATAATGTAAATGCTCACCCAAAGCCCTCAATACTCTGATAGTGTGCTGTTTTTGAGTTGTACGTCTTTTGGCGTCTTCTGGTCCAACACCAGTGGAGACTAGGCTCTAAGAAAAGCCGTCTCGGGTGTGGACCAATCAAATTCAAGGACATTGCATGTTATTATTATCAGAGTTGTCTCTTTTGTTTGCATTTTGACTGCTTGTCTTGTGGTTATTGCAAACATGATGCCTTGAATAAAGGTGTCAGTTTTTGTGCAAGTTGAAAGGGTAAAACCTATTACTTTATCTTGTTACTGGTAAAGGAGGTCTCATAATGATTCTCGCCTTAACATGTACGCTTCTCGCTTTAACGTTAATGGTTCTCGCTTTAACAATTACCTGTGCAATTGTGTCAGGTCTCGGGATTCAAATCTCACCACAGGATACAGTTCGTTATTACGACAATGATGCACGAGTTTAGGAAAGAAGCACACAGAAACCTGTTTTTAATCTAAGCAATTTTAATGTCAACTTCCCCTAACATCCAAAAATAATTATCATCAGAACACCAACAGCATTGCCCATGCAAATGTAGTGTAGCAGAGCTGACTGGCGACTAGAAGTAGCAATTTCGGGAGTACCCACCCAAGGGGAAGAACTGGGCCAGGGTTCATGGAAGGAATAAGAACTGGGCCAAAGGTCATGGAAGGGATCCATCTTTGAGCTCCCAGAACCAGCTCGAAGTGTCGAGAAGGGGGGCGTGGCCAGGGCGGGGCCAGATCCCGCTTGAAGTATCAAAGGGTGCGAGAGAGGGAGCTCGGGGCTGTCCGTGGGAATCAGGGTCGGCTCGCCGTGGAAGTTGTCCTCGTCGTCGTCGCCATCGCTGCTGTCGTCTTTGTCATCGCCCGACGCTGCCACTGCTGGATAGTCAGCCAGCTATGCAGTCAGTCAGCGTCGTCGAGCTGGGTGGTCAGCGTTACGTGATGTGCTCAGTGAGTCGTGTAGTGTGAGTATGAGAAATATAAATAAAGGTGTCTCTACAGTTAGTGTCTCCAGAGTCCTACACTAACACGAGTATATGTGTTCAATAACCCGTAACCGGGTGATCATCAAAACATCAATGGCCAAATCTCACGATCACGTTATTAAAACAGAACAATAATCTAACGTTTCATGGCAACTCGACAATACAACATTCTTTGTTATGGTGTCTGAGGCATGCAAACTGAGATTCTTCTAGGCACCCAACCTGTACAAGGTAACGTTAACAATGGTGCTTCTATCGTCTTTGTTTTTTTCTGAACAAGCCTCAAGTCCCACAACGATGTGTAGATCGGCAGGCTTGGTCCACAGCTGCAGTGGGCTCGCGGCCCCTCTGCCCCGTGCTCGATCGTGGCGTTGTCTGTGCATCATGCTCGATCCGCAGCTGGAGGGTGCTCTGGGGCTCCGGAGTCAGCACGCTCGTGGTCAGCCCTTAGCTGCTGCGCTGCACGCTCGCAGGTCATCTGCACGCCAGGCTCGATCTGCAGTTGGAGTGCTCTGTGGCCACGCTGCTCAACCCGTTGCCTTTCAGCAGAGCTGCCTGCTTCGCGCGAGCTCGCTTGCTGCCACCCCCCCCGACCTCCTGCTGTGCGGCGGCCAGGATCCTGCTCGCTCACTCTCCAAAACTCTCCAAAAATCATAGAACATCAGTCACTTGAACAACAGAGCTTTGCCAGCCTATAGCTTGGACAGCATTCAATGCACACTCGATATTGCCTTCACATCTGCCTGCCCGCCGTACCTTTCATCATTACTGACGACTTGCAGCTCAGCACACGGCAGATGCCTGCACAGCGCGACTCACGACCTCGTCTTGATACCAAGATCCAGGATGGTCATGTCAAAGCGCCGTTTCTTGGTGGTAGCCCCAACAGTCTGGAATGCCATCCCTCTGCACATTCGCAGCATCACCTTAATCGCCTCTTTCAAAAGACATTTAAAAACTCACCTCTACAGCCACGCTTTCGAGCCTCTGAGTTGTGGCCGTTACGTCTGCAAATTTGTGCGTGTTATAAATTGCATTATTATTATTATTGGTGTATTTCTCAAATCTCCACTTAACTTCTCACACGTCTTAGCTGATCACAGTATTATTTGAAAATGAATTCCCACACCTCTTAGCTTCTTACAACTCTTCGCTTTGTACAGGACAACTTCCCGATGTCATTGACTTTGCAAGTGACTCAATATATAAGTTGGAACGTAGAATAAAACTTTCAGGGATACTTAGAATCTGTCAGCGTAGAATTCAACACTAATAGACACAGCG